TGCTGTGTTGTTCTCGTGTATATGGCAATTGAACAGCACTCCTGCTGACGTATGACAACTGAATAACATTCTGCATTGTGTAAGACAGGGTCTGCCTTGTGAGGAAAGAGGAGTATCCATCTGTATATCACCCTAGACTAGATACCAGGCGGGATTTTCACCGAATGCGAGCTGAAAGACAGTGGCATAACCTAGGCTGTTAAACGCCGGCTTCCCATCGCAGTACCCAGGAGTCTAACCCAGATTAGGTCCTGTGGGGTTCCTGGCAGACGAGTGGCACTGGAGTAGGTTTTATCCGGGCATTTCGGTTTCCCCTGGTAATTCTCAATTCACCAAATACCCATTTATAACCCGGAGCTGGTACAACCTCCATCTTCAGGGTAGAAAAATCCGCGAACGAGGAACCAGCGTGAGAAGGTGGCTGCAGACTGAGCCACCAGTCGAAAACAGCCACCCTTCCTTTTCTTTATAGCTGGGTGTTTTCGACTGGTGGCTCAGTCTTCAGCCACCTGTTCACGTTGGTTACTCGCTCGCGGATTTTTCTACCCTGAAGATGGAGGCGATACGTTCCTCCGAAACGTCGGTTCACATAAGATCGACACGGAGCCACATCCAAGAAGACGACATTTTTCATAGTTACCGCCGTGAAAACGTCAAGTCTTACATATAAATTGAAATTCTTGTTCTACTGGTTTGCTTACAATAAATAGTACTATAGGTTGTAAGCTAATGTTTTATTCAGAACTATAAAATATTCAGGCATCATCATTCATAGGCTTGAAGGCAATGAATGGTATTGTATGTCAGATAGAACTATATTTGACTTCTCAATGAACTGTATTGCACCGTTATATCCGTGATTTAAACGTATTCGTACGTGTGTTATACAACTCGAGGGATAGGAACGGCTCACAAGGTACATTTTATTTAAGCGGAAATCTTCAAATATCTAGTTTCAGTTATGCAAATAAATTCAAAGGTTAATTATAATGAAAACCCAAGCATCAGAAAGACGTCCCATTGGAAACTATGGAGAACCAAGAATGTTCCTAGTCTCGTTCCAAATTCGGTGTTTGGATAATAGTTTCGTCTTGCATTAATGGTGCGCCTACTTGACCCATCTATCAATATAAACGCGAAGAATGGCATCGCACTAAGCTTACAATACAACGCACGTAACCTTAAGCTGCTACCATTCAGCTATATCTCACCCTTCTGATCCCGGGAGGAATTAATGTTCATTATTCTTATAGCAGTCCCACATCCATCCTATCTCCGGAATCTGAGGGCAATGCTTGGCGTGTTTTACAATATGAACCCGCAAATTTGGGGTTTCCGTCTAATAATCGTACTCTCTGAAGACAGACAGTGTGAACTCGTAGCGCTTCCTCTTCGTATTATAAAAATAGATTTCAAAAAATGACCACTATGCTCAGTATAAAACATTATGAACTACAAACTCTCAATCTTATAGCTGTGTGGTTAGGTAACGTATCCGCCAACACAACAAGAAAAATTATATTACAATTAAAACCAATATGATATAGAGTGAATGTTATTGTCTACCGCTACATGTTTCCGTCCTTATGGGGCCATCATCAGGCAGTGCAAATAATAAATAAGATAAAGTTAATTGAAATCTCAATATGGATCCCTATTATAGTGCAATGCATCTATATTATAAAAGTTGTAGAAAACTGTGCCTTGTGGTATGATGAAAATTACAATATAGATAAATATTGTAAATAGTAGAGTATACAAGAATCTGTATTTTAAATATTAGTGGAGGTAATTGAAAGTGTGTTGTATATATTACAAACATAAAATTTTATAGTATGAACAAAGAGTTAGATATTATACGACTAAAATAAACAAAATATAGTAAAAGTATTAAACATATTATAAATATATTAAATAATATTATAACATTATTGAGAATATGGAATAAATTCCTACTATGGAGTTGAAGGTTCCGATGTGCGGTAGATCACTTGAATCCAAGTTGTTTCTAGCCTCTCATGGTGTGGATGCTATTCGGCCAGAGCTGTGTTGTGTTCAAAGTATTGTGTACCTGGGGGCTGCTTCAGTGTGTTAATTTGTATGCTAAATACTGCCTTGGATATGGGTCGTGATGTATTGTTTAATATCACAATATGTAGGTGCGCTCTATTCGTATGGACGTTGTGTGTCTTGCCTTGATTCAACGTAGGTTCTGTGGACAGGAAAAGGAAGAAACCTAACTTCGAAATGTTATCCTGTCGTAAGCTCGCTTCGATCGATCGCTCATGCTCCTATATGTAGTAGGATGTCGAGCTTCAGGGATGGAAAATCCTGTGGACTTCGTATCAGCTAGCTTTATAACACAGAGGCCATCGCTATGCTTAATACGTAACAGATGCACACACGTGCTACAACGGTTAATGGGATTGTGCCCTCGTGACAACCCAGGCAATGTCGACCGGGCAAGACGCAATTCAGTTTCCTCTTGAATGTAAGTTTAATCATAGGGCCGCGCCATAGCTCAAGCGGTTAGTCGCTGACTTCCCATCGCGGCCCGGGTTCGATCCCGGGTCTGGTCAAGTGGCATTTGTGGTGGACAAAGTGGGGCTGGGGCAGGTTTTCTCTGAGTACTTCTGTTTCCCCTGCCAACCTTCATTCCACCAATTGCGCCACAATCACCCTCACCTATCATCTGGGGCTGGTACAATAGGCCAGAAGTGGCTGCAGTACAAGGGACTTAGTCCCACCCCACTAGCAATAAAAAAAACAGTCGCTATAACGACGAGCTACTGTTTGGACGACCTTTGTTCGATTCGCGGTGGGGCCGACTCCATAGCGTCCAGACCGGCTCTGAGGCCCACCCAGCCTCCTAACCAACGAGTACCAGTGACGACTTCCCCATCAAGCTGACCACTCACCTCAGTCTAGTGATGAAGTCAAGAATCGTGGAGCTACATATCCACTCCATCATATGCCTTCATGGCAGTGTGCTTAATTAACACTGGGACAGCTTTGCTTTTACCTACTGAATATAATTCTACCGCTGCATCAATGCGGTCGGTGTCGCCATGTCGGTAAAGGGGAAGGCAGGGTTGAGTCGCTTAGTGGACTGTACAAACAAGAACCTGAATACCTGAAAGGCCTCCATGCAAAAGGAACCGTAATTGCAAACACGTGTTCAGTGGTTTCAGCACGTCAACTGCGCGACCTAGAAATTAAGACAAACACAGCTGAGCTGTGTATTCAAGACACTTGGGCATCTACCGGATATACATTTCCTTCTGGGGTACTTTCTCCCAGTCAGATATTATCGTAATTCAACGAGGAACCTGAATTTCTTGAATAATAACTCTCGCACTTCGCGTATATTACAGGCCTACTGAAGTCTACTTGTAGATAGGCTGGTCACGGCCATCGCCTGGCTGCCACACAGTTTCTCAGGTCCCGCATAACCAATCTAGGAATTCTAGTGGCCAAAACTGAGGTGTATGATACTGTCGGTTTCCTTCCGTTCCCGTAATATTTATTTTTCACTTTCTGAATAATCATATCGCGTCCTCATTATATTATTTGGTCATTGCTGCGCCTTCATTGAAAATAGTTTAGGCTGATTAAACTTGAAGCAAGTATGGAGAAAACAAAAAATTTCTACAAAATTTGCATTTGAAATTTCACGAAAACGAGTCATTTGGAAGACTTAAGAAAATATAGAAACATATTTTAATGAAGAATCACTAGAATGTAATAGAACTAGAAGGATTTCATTGCCTGCGATCTCCGCTCTGTAATTCTAAGGAAGTAATATAATTTTATTATAAAAGTGGAATTTCATCTCTAGACGAAAATTTTACAAAGTAAATTTGAAATGCGTCATAAAAGTTACGTTTCCTCAACCGCGTCTAAATGAATTCATTAACCTGAGTTCTTCTGGGGTAAGACAGTATTTATTCTAGTGGATGGTAACGACCCGCCGAAGGAACTTCAAATCTCATAAACGAATTCATAATTCAGTATAACCGGAATACCGCCACTGTGTCTGTAAGTTCTACAAGCGATACGCTAGAAAAAAAAAATTAAAAAATTACTGTTCAAGGACAGTGCCAACATTTGTACTTAAAACGAAAACCATGCACTCTTTTGTTAAATATATTTTCAAAACAGTAAACCTATTTGTAGCAGTCGTTTTAGGAAATATGCAACCACAGTATGGATCCTTCTGCTTTTGCCCTCTCTTCCTAAATTATCTCGAAAATCGCAAGGTAAAAGGTAAAGTTGTCCCTGTGCTTAACTAATTAAGCACCACGCCATAAAGGCATCTGGGGAAATGGAAGTATAGATCCACATTTTCTTGACCTTGGCACTGGTTGGAGGTGAGTGCTCAGCTTTACGCCCCGGTCGCTTTACCTCCAGAGAAAGAACCCCCGGTATCCATTGCACAGGAGGTTGGATGAAACCCAGAGCCGGTGTAGACGATTTGCAGAAGAGAAATTTTTGATCCTACCGAGACTCGAACTCCAACCACTGAGTCGTCCAGCCCGTAGCCAGTCGCTATACCGACGATAAATTAATAAACCCAATTACAAATCCAAACCCCGTGTCTAGTCACTGACGCATAACAATATTTTACGAGTTCGTTCCGAGATGCTTGCAAAAACGTAAGTAGATCTTTATGCAGAATGTCCAATTTCAAGCAAAACTGAAATGTGGATAAACTTTAGTAAAACCACTCAATATGAAATTTAATGAAGCTTTCTTCGGCGGTTCTCGATTTGTTACGTATGGATGGACGGACAGTCAGAGAGTAATGGTGAGGCTAAAAGGCAAATTTCTTAGAAATATTAGTCGCCAGCGCGCCAGAAAAGACAACTGAGAAGAAGTTTAAACTATAGGAAAGTAACAGCATTAAGAATAATAGTTTAGTTAAATATATGTTTATATACGTTGAAACCCATAAATTCATGTGGGAGGAAACTTTAGTTATTCTTCTTCTTCTTCTACAGGCTCTACAGCCCATTTCGAACCCTGGCCTCTTTTACGATTACTCTCCATTGGGCCCGATGCTATGGTTCTCGTCTCCAGTTTCTAGCGCCCGCTGTCTTCATATCTTCTTCAACAGAATCCAGGCACCCGATAGCAGGTATGCCTACATGTAGGGTACCCTCTGGTTTATGTAGCAAGGGTTCTGTTCATACATTCTACACAGGTGTCCCAGCCATCTCAACGGCCCCACTTTGATCACTTTCACTGTCCTCTATTTAATTAATTACTGTCGAAAATTAGATCCTTGTATTCTCTGCATATGCATGAGAGACCACTGTTTTTGCTGAATGCATGCACTGAAATGTAAGCTTAAACATAAAAAGAAACTTTGGGGGCGTTCGTCCTCATTTTGTTAAATTACTTCGAATATAGCAAGAATGTTGGAAAAAATTATTATATATAATATGTATCTGCTTTTTCTCTACAACTTGTGTTCGAAACAGTTTTCGCTCCGATAAATATTTCTCGAGTTAAACTCGAGTTGCGCGCCAAAACTCGCGTAGGTCTTCATGTAGTGCCCGTTATCTTTGTCCGACTTAAATAAAAACCAGAAGTTATCAACAGTTATGGTAACACTCCAAAATATCAAATTTCAAGAGACTCCGTTGAGAGCTTCTGAACTTGTTTCACGTGTATCCACAGCTGATAGAATAATTTTAATCTGCGCTCCACATGGATATGAACAACATAAGAGAGCGATATCTTCTCGTTAAAAATAAAAAAAAAAGAGCCGTTAATTAACATGTTTACAGAGGATATTTGTATGCATTCTAGAAGATCAGGCACATGTCTTTCAGTTAATGGGTCGTTATCCTGATTAAGTTATGCTCCAAGTTTCCCCTCAGTTATCCCTCATAAATGCACAATTGGTGACACATCCATAGATGACGAAATAGTAAGAATATTTCAAAATGGCTGGCTCTTTAGATGGGCTTCGTAAGGCAAACAGGATACACTATAAATTTATTTTAATTTCACAGATTTTATGCACTCTTATACATATATCCTCCGCCAATTAGCTTCGTCGGTACGTCGCAGCATTGTTGAGGAAACTGAGGAAAATAATGAGGACATTCAGACTTAAGAATGAACCTCGTACATCAACTACTGCCATGCAAGAAACCAGATCCATTATCACATTCATTGCAATATATCAACTGGAATTGCTACTGCATTTAGATCTACTTTTAGTTGAAACAAGAATGAAAACATGTATTCCAATTTGGGGAACATATGCCTGCTTTTCAACTCAGTATATCTGCGATTTTACTCACTTTATTCCCCTTGAATCTCATTTGTGGTAGATACAAATCTCTTAATCCAAAGCTCATTAACATTACACATACCACACTTTATAGATTCATAAATTTCTGCGCTGATGAATATAATGGGCACTAAATAAATTAACCTACACTAAACAAGGATGTTACTTTCTTTGTGTTGTTAAATACGTATATATATTACAATATTATATTTAAGCATCCTGTTGCACTCTATACGATAAATGATATAATGATACAAATTCCGTCCCAAGTGCAAACAAGTGCACACAGGAAGACTACACAGGATAACACCTATACAGTGTGGAAACAAGAACTAGCCGCTGCAGCACTTTAGACATAGGGCGAGTAACCCTAACAATTTTAAATTTAAAATTTAGAGGAAAATTTTAAAGGATTTTAAAATTAGAACTAAAGATTTTATAGTGCTACTACAGGTATGTCAAAATTAACGTGTGTAAAATAATCTACAAACCAGACAGATATCAACGAAGTAGATGTTGATAATAACAAGGAAAGTGTTTTAAATGTTAAATTTTGGGCTGNCCAGCCGATCTAAGGCATGTACTGTTTCGGTCACTTGGAAGCCAGGATCGTGGATTCGAATCCCACATAAGGCATGAATGTTTGGTATGTGTATGTGTTCATTCTGTGTTTATATTGTCCTGTGTTTAGGTAGAGGCCTTGCTACAAACTGATCACTCGTTCAAGCTGTCTTACCGTCTGTAAAATGATCAAATTAAAAAAAAAAAGAACAACCTCGACACCGTAAACTTGTTTAAGAACATTTAGTGCAATTCATCGAAAGGGGCAAAGTGACTTCCTACATGAAAAACATGGATAGCGAGGAATAACTCATTTTGCATTCAAAATGTACTTCGTATAAAATAAAACCATAAGGAATCCAAGTAGCAATGTTACACAATCGTAATATTTTTCTGCAATCTCTTACGTGCAGTTTACTGCTACACCTCTCCAACTTATTATTTTAATGGCACTGCTCTGTAACCTACAGAGCTTACCTCGTAGTTAATTGCTGTGTCATGTTACACATGCATGCCTCACTCCCTCGTGGAGCCCTTCCTGAGAAGCCGCCAATTGTGCAGCTACTGATGAATTTCCCAGCACTTCATGGAACCCGAAGGTTCATTACCAAGCTCACCAAAGCCCTCCACTAATCCCTATCCTGAGCCAGATCGATCCAGTCAGTACCACACCATCCTATCGCTCTAAGATCCATTTAATATTGTCCACCCACCTACGTCTTGGTCTTCGTAGTGGTTTCTTTCCTCCTGGCTTTCCCACCAATAACCTATACGCATTTCTCTCCTCCTCCTCCTCCAGATTCGTGCTACATTCCCTGCCCATCTCATCCTCCTTGTCTTGATCATTCTAATTATATAAGATTTGAGGCTTTCACGGCGGTTTTACCGGTTCTCACGGTCTCTTCGCTTGCAGATTTCTTATATTTTTTCTTCTACCCTGAAGATGGAGGCGATACGTTCCTCCGAAACGTCGGTTAACACCACATATACACGGTGCCAAATCCCAGAAGACTGCTTTCTTCATTCTAATTATACTTGGCGAAGATTGCAAGTTATGAAGTTCCTCTTTATGTAGTTCACATGCATGCCTAATAGCGTAAATCACAAAACACAGTACATTTCTTACATCCAATAAAGTCTCACATGTCTACATCTATTTCCTTTATGCGGTTCCAATACTAATAAAACGTCCTGAGATTAGATGTTCACTTCCTCCTCTTTTTGTGCAGTAAACATGACCCTGCATAACTACGCCGTAACATATTCCTGGCAAGAATTCAGTGCGAAGCAAAAAGAATTTAACGCAACAGACTCAGCTGTACACTACTAACTATTCCCGCATTCTTTCGCATTTCAAGTTTTAGTGAAGGTCTTTTTCTGTAAACTGTGATTCAGTTTGAAAGATAAATGAAATATTCAGCTATGAAGTTCTATAAATACGAGCAGAGAAAGGCCAGCGTCCAATACATCTTTCAACTGACAAGAGCTTCAGACATGACTGGCAGAATTCATACCTAAATCTACATTCACGCCTGTTCGTCACTTCCAAACATCAGATTTTATCACTAAGTGCCGTCCATGTCACCGAGATGTCCATTACAGATTTGGAAAGATTTCGCACCATCGGCAACCCGGTAGTCATCTGAAGCCTTAACATTTGCACCAATCAAATGACCACTGTGAAACGATTACAATAACTGAAGTCTCTTTAGATTTTAACAGTATAGGGAGGCGCAAAGGAGCCGGGATAGCGTAGTTGGTATAGCGACTGGCTACGGGCTGGACGGCCGAGGGGTCGCAGTTCGAGTCCCAGTAGGGTCAAGAATTTTCTCTTCTCCACGTCGTCCAGACCGGCTCTGGGGTCCACCCAACCTCCTATCCAATGGGTACCGCGGATTTTTTCCGCGGGGGTAAAGCGGCCAGGGCGTGAAGTTGACTAATCACCTCCAGCTAGTGCCGAGGTCAAGAAAATGTGGATCTATACATCCACTCCCACATACGCCTTCATGGCATAGTGATTGCTTACTTACTTAAGCACAGGGACAACTTTACTAGGGAGGTGCAAATATGGTTAAACCAGAGGGCGGATTTACGGACAGAAACTGAGACAACAATGCTCTGAACTCTAAAATAACAACCCTTCAACGCACGCAGCCTGCGTGGACTGCGAAAAGGGTGTGAACGTCCTTCAGGCTCCCGCGTGGTGGATACCAATACGTTTAACTGCGAAGTAAAAGTGAACAAATACATAAGAATTATGTCCTCGAATTCTGTAAAAACAGCATTAAAACGCATTAAAATGATATACATTCTCCTAATTTTTTTACATTCTTTAAAAACAAGTATCTTAAAAATGTATACAGTTCTGCTTCCAGTGTGTATAAGCAGGGAATCTGAAATCTCAGTTAAGGGAAAAAACAAAATACATTGAAAATATAAAAAATGAAGTATTGAGGATAATGTTCAGGCTTAGGAGCAATAAAATGATGAAAACTATATAAACAAGATCATAATTTATAGTAGATACTCGTACTATAGGATTCTGACGATGGTGTATGACACACAGAGATATTGGGTTTTCGGGCTTTGTCCATTGTCCAGATTCTAATAACTATTCACTGAACCAAGTGACTGAGGCTAGCTCTTTCTAAGGGACCCAACAGAGTAGGTGTCTTCCCTCACCTGAGGACGGAAACAGATCCAATTTCCGAAACGTTGTTTTTTCTTAGTTATTTAGAATCCGGACGATGGACAAAGTCCGAAAACCCAGTATTTCTGTGTATAATTTATAGTGTTCACCGAGCAGGATTTTTTTCTTTTTTCCTTGGAAATACAGCCCCAGTGGGCCTAGGCCTACCTCCATGAACTTCTCCGTTCACACCTAGCAGGATTAAAAGGATAGAATCGTAAAAATGTAGGATATATGGAACAAAAAAGTAATACCAGAATTTTGCACACGAAACACATTGGGAAATCACTTGGAAGAGCAAAATGTACGTATATGGAAGTGTAAAATTAAATTTCATACAAGATAAGTTGTTTGTTGGAATGTTGACTGAATTCAGCTGCCTCAGAATAGCATCCCGTCATGAGGTTTTTCCTACCGGTGATGAATCTTCGGGTTCCATTAGAATCAAATGTTTCTTTGACAGGTGAACCCCTGCACCTAATCTGCACCAGACGCCTAGTGGCGTGGCATTTAATTAATTGATGCCTTTGCCGAAGCAAACACCCACACTGGCGTCAAACGCCCACCGACGTTGTCGTAACGG